AAGGCGCACATTCTTGTACCTTTGCATGAAATTACTTATAATGTGTCGAAGACAAAAGCGATGGTATGCTAATGGCTCTTGCTATTCTGGTAGATTTTCCATTGCATGAATTATTCCTTTGTGCCTGTCTGAAACAAGACATAATTATCTGTTTTGAACAACAAAATGTCTGAGTTGGTAAAAAAAACCAGCCCCAACTATGTGAACTCTCTTCATCAACGATAGCATACGCAACAGGCAATACTATTGTTTGCATCTTTTGTGACAGCAACAAGCATTTTTCCTCTATATGAACCCTTCAAATGGCAGCCATCTACTGAAATAACAGGTCGACATAGACGAAACGCATCAATAGCTCGTCTAAAAGCCCAAAAAACATATTTGAATGTCACTACAGGTGTTGATGAGCTATTTGGACAATGAAACCACTTCACAACTGTATCAGGATTTGAAGCCTGCAATGCTGCAATGTACTTGGGCAACTCATCAAAGTTACTCTCCCAAGTTCCATAAATACTCTCTATAGCTTTTCGCCTACCATGCCATGCCTTATCATAAGAAACATCAACATTCAGACTATTTTTAATATCTGATTGTATATGTTTCTCGATAAGCAACATCATTTTCAATTGAATGGAGGATATACAAGGCAATAGTTGCAGAGTTTAGATTTTTGTTATTATTGCCAGTACATGATCCAAAACAATTCTGTGCATCCACCCAACGTGTAATCTTCCATATGTTTTTATTTTTCTTCTTAACTGCACGAACATACCATGCACAACGGGGCATACAGTGCACACTACCAGAATTTTCTTCTTCATTTCCTAGAGTCCTACACTTTGCTACCCACAAGTTAGGCTTACTATCATACACTTTAAACTCTCTATTTTGGTTGATAGACCAAAGTGTCACTGCCTTTTTTACTTGCAACTTACTTTCAAATTGCATTCCTAACCTTATTTTATTTTCTGACTCCTTCCAAACATCTATTTGAATGCAGTCTTCCAAACCGGCTATGTCACCGTCTCCTATATCTCCAACATCACTCATAAAGTTCATAACTGGAGTTTCACACACACCATCATCATCAGAATCTTCCCCAACACATAATGACTCGCTACTATTATCTTCACTATATAATGAGTTGGCTTCATCACAATCTCCCTCAAATATACCACAATCAGGCAAAGGAAATGGTACATTTGATGGATTGGGCTCCAACACCTCAAAATTTTGAAGGAGATCTACAAAACTAGTACTTGTAGGTGACATTATTTTTTCAACTTCAATTAAAACTTAACCCCAATAATTTGCAACATTATCAGCCAAATAATACATTACGTCTAAACTTGAATCATTTATGACCCGTGAAATAGTGGATTGCCCTCCAAATTGATAGCATAATGAGATATTCAACTTATGTGATGCTTTTTCAACTCCAACATGTGCATAACATAAATCTTTAAATTCTTCATACCCCATTTTGTGCCTAACAATATTTGAAGTAGAAAAATTTGAATGGTCTCCCTTTATGATACCATTCTCATATTTAATATTACCACCCCAGTATAAATTAATCATAAACGAACGATCTAGAATCATAATGATATATAACAAAATATAACTGCAAAATAAATCAAAAATTAAAAAAGAGATTAATAAGTATGCTACATATGATAATTACTATTATTAAATATATGACATAAAGCCAATAATATGTACCTTGTTATGGATGAACGAATGTTGAAGAAAAAGAAGAAGGAAATATTTAAGTTCAAGAATTGTAAAAGAAATTCATTAGTTAGGTTGGAAGAGATGAAAATCTATTGATTATAAGAAAAAGAATTTATAATACAAAAAAGTGAGATGATTTGACGATTCACTCAATTATTTCTACTGGGTTTTCATCAACAGTTACAATTGAGTGTGCAGAATAGTTTTGCTTTTGTAGTAGAGTAAAAACAAATAACATAATTTTAGAGTTTTCACAAATAGTGACAACTCATGCTATACATTTTAGGTGTTGTGGATTAAGATTTTCTTATATTTACAAATAAACGATAATAAAAATACCAGTATGAATATTATGATTTAGTGTTTAATTTAAATTCTAACTTAATGTATATTTTTAATGTAACATCGTTTATAGTTGATCTTTTAATTTTGCGACGTAATATATTTAATATTAAACTAGGTGAGGAGCCCCGCGTTGCAGGACATGGAGCTAAACAGAAACGATCGAAAGTTTTACGGGAAAAATTTTCAAATAAAGCAGGAATTTTTTTTTAAAATTTGAAGTACAATACGATTCACTGCAGCTATAACGTAAAAACGGAGAAGTCACCAAAATGACAGTGCAAAAAACAGAAAAAGAAAAATAGGTACAACTTCAAAGTAGAGTGTTATTTAGGGCATTTTAATACAAAAAATATAAAATTTACCTAATGGCAATGTAGTTAGGTTTTTGGAGAAAACAAAACTTAAAGGGAAAATGAAAAAAAAACAGAAGAAAAATATGAATTTTCAAAGTATGTTGATATTTACCGCAATTATTCAAATGCTTCCATGTCACATGCAATATTAAAACAAACAATTATTAAAAATGAGTAGTTGTAAATGGAGGTCTATAACAAACAAAATGGTAGTATTTGTTTAAAATTTAGCAAAAAAATAAAAAATGTTGCAACCGTGCAATTATAGCTCCAAATCCAAAGAATTAATCTGGACTGCAATGAGAGTTACCTTGCATAAAGATGTGTTACTTGAAGTTAGAATGACTTCAAGTTAATCTAAACACTATTTTCAAATAAGAACGTACATTCAACTGTTGCTGCAAGTCTTTTGCTTTCTCTTCTTTCAACCACACGTACCCCCGCAATCTCACCAAGATACACAACGACCTATAAAATCTAGACTAAGTGTTATCATTATTTGTAATATCAATATTTTTTTTAATGAATATAAATCATACATACATATGATTGTAGTATATCGTTTTTAATCAAATTATATATTCAACAATTTTTCATTTTTATAACACCGTAAATGCATAGAAAGTACCTCTACAATAGCATCAAAATAAAAAATGTCCCAACTGTTCAAAGATTGTTTCATTTTTCATTAATTAATAGTTGTCACACTCTTTGTTAAAATATATCTAGGAATCATATAAACCAACCTTAACATGGCATCTAGTTCAAACGTGGAGCAAGGCAGCAGGAAGGTTATTCAAATCACCTGCATCAATAACCACAAACTAAGAAACCCTAAAATCTAAAAAATCACATGAAAAATTATAGATATTTGAAAGAAGAATAGAAGCTTTATATTAATTTGAGCACCATAGCATCAATTTGATTAAAAAAAACTAACCACATCAATGTCTTCTTCATATTACTGCTCCAAATGTAAAAAATGAGCGTAATACGAAAACCTCTTGTAAAATAATGAGCTGATTGTTTTCCGATCAACACTCCTAGTAAGGCCATTTTCATCCAAAATTGTTAAATTCAAATTATTTTAGTATAAAAACATTATGCAGGGGCATTTCGGTCCAAAACTATTAAAACTATAAAAATTAGCTATAAAAATAGTATGCAGGGGTAGTTTGGTCCAAAACCGTTAAATCATTTTTTTAAGTTTAAAAATAATATGCAAGGGCTGTTTGGTCCAAAAAACTTAAAATTAAATTTTTTAAGTATAAAAACAGTATGCATGGTCAGTTTGGTCCAAAAATGTTTGAATAAAAAATTTCTAACTATAAAGTCGTCATAATTAGAATTTTACCTTATATAATCCATAGCAAAAGATATTTTGTATAAAAAGTTAAAAAAACAGTGTATGGATTCATAAGTGAACCTTTTTATGTTTCAGTTTTTTCCCATACTTAATCCTTCATTTTCCTCTGCTTCATCTACCAAATATATAATGTGGTTAGCATTTTAAAGCAAAAAAATAGATTTTTCATTCAACGAAAGCAAACGAAAGAATATTTTGATTACCAACGATAGCCTTGTCAGAAGGTTCAAACACCACTACATGGTGTCCTATTCTTAGGACTTGAAAAATACTTTTATGAACAGAAGGTCCATTTGGGCATTTAATTGAACACTCCATATGCATCTAAAATAGAAACATGTTAACCATATTTTGATAACGAACAATAGTCTTGTCAGTCCCGCTTTCCTGTTTCCAATTTAAAAGAAGTTGGAATTTTGAAAATTAATATTATTTCATAGAAATAAGTAGAAATACATAATCCATCTGATTAAACCTGAGATTTCATAGAACACTTCATATGCATCTAAAATAGAAACATGTTTACCATATTTTGATTACCAACGATAGCCTTGTCAGTCCCGCTTTCCTGTTTCCAAATTAAAAGAAATTGGAATTTTGAAAATTAAATTATTTCATAGAAATAAGTAGAAATACATAATTCATCTGATATTAGATGAGGGCAGCAACATCTTCTTCTACAGTACTGACTATCTCCCCAATGAAGGGCATTCATGAAGAATTCAAGTTTGAATGTCCTTTACAACACTTGCCCAATGAAGAGCATTCATGAAATTTTGTCCTACGACATAAAAAATGTTTAAGCCATGAAGCATCAACTTTTTCTAAATGAAAAGTATTTGCCATTTTTTCAAACACATTGTGTGCAGTAAGAAAATGGTAACATTTACATCACAAGATCGATGACTGATTGTAAAGTAGCCAAAATGGGGGAAAAAGAATATAAATCAGATAATGGATAACAACCTTGGAAGAAACTCTTACCTTCTTTCAATGAAACAATCGACTTCCTCCGCTGTTAAAATTGAAAGCATAAGTTGTACAAAGGAAGGTGAAAGAGGAAGAATTTGTATAAGACAATCAGTGCAAAGTGGGATAAACATACCATAATAACAATCACATTTTACCGTATGTAAATTTTGACAGGTCGTTACCTAAGGATGTGAAGAACATCTGTTGTCGTAAACTACCAGAAACCATCAAGTGACTTCAAGGATTGCGACATCATCTCCTCTTTGAAACTCATCCTGGAAAAAGATAACAAAAAACAAATGAGAAAGTAAAAGCAAGAAAAAGTCCTAATTTCTTACGCAGTGACGACTAAGAACGTAAAAGACGGAACGGTGTAAAGGAGGCACAAAAAAAGGGGAGTAAAGACCGGTATGGCTGCAATCATCGGTTGCATATTCCAATCGGGTTTGCCTTCCGAGTTGCCCTACCAAAATACAGACCCAAATTTCAGCCGATGTTTGATAGCCCAACTTTTTTCGCAAATAAAACTCATCATCGCCTCAATCTACGAATAATCAAAATGGATGCCTCTGATAACCACTGGATGAAGACCCCGTTGCACTTTCCAGTGATCGACACCGCCACCATCAACATCTTCCTTCTTCTTCTTTTGTTCTAGTGACCACACAACACATGGAAATATTTCAGAGAAAGAAAAGAATATAGAGGCGGTGCACCGAACCTCGATGGTCATTCCATAAGATGATGTATGAAATCGGTGGCGATTAGGTGGAGAAGATTAGGCAGTGAGAAGCAAGAAGAAAGTGAATCCCCTATGAACGAAAGGATATTTACCGTAAGACAAAGAAGATGAACACGAGGAACAGACGGTGTTGGTATACAGGCGGTGTAGCGGAAGATATGTCGAGATGTTGGAAGAGGTTGATTGAAAGAAGAAGACGTTGAAGAGAAGGTAAGAAAATGATCGCTCTGTTTGAGTCGGTGATTAAGAGAAAGAATGAAAAGGGATATTGGATAAGGAGGCAGTGGAAGGATCCAGAAGGGATAAATCCAAACGATGATCAACACGTGTCCACAAACTATATGAATATTGACATAAAACGACCCTAAAAACGATTTGAACACACAGACATAAACAGGGGACCATTCTTGCCAAAAAACAGCTAGGTTTACTATTCCTAAAAAGTGTCCTCCTTTAATATATATATATATATATATATATATATATATATATATAATATATATATATATATATATATATATATATAAAAGAATATCTATTTGAAGATATTTGTATTATTCATTTAATGGTATAACTACTTAAGAATAATACATAAATTATAATTATATATTTTATAATAATTATTTATGTATGATATATAATGAATGTAAAATTTTGAATTAATCAATGAAAGATATAAATAATAGAAAAGCAATTAAAGTTAAGGGGGTTTACTTGAATATATATATATATATATATATATATATATATATATATATATATATATATTATATATATATATATATATATATATATCATTGTCGTTATGAACGACAAATAGAGTAGATCCAACTAAAAAGAAGCATATTTCTACAATATATTCTAAAACTAGCCTATTTTTACAATGTTTTTTTGAAAACTAACCTATTTTTACAAAAAACTCGGAAAAATGGTGGTGGAAACTAGAATGTGGGGTGATCGATGATGGCTAAAGACTAGTTAGCGAAGCATCTCTAATCTCCTATTTTTCATTTTTTTCTTTCATTTTCTTCATGTCATTCCAATCTTATCCCATTTATTTTTTAATTTTAAAAGAAATAAATAATATAACCAAATATAGTGTTATATTATTCATTTCCTTCAAAATAGAAATAAACTTTGAATTATCGGTTTGAGTTGTCAGTTTTGGTCCCTATTTTTATATATTTATATATTATTAGTTTATTTTATTTACTAATTATAATTTAAATGTATTATTTAATACTTATCATATTGTATTATGTATTAAATTATATTAATTAATTATAAATATAAATTTTATTATTTGTTTATCAAATTCATATGAAAATTTAAATAAATATTGAAATTTTAAAATACGATAACGTATTTTATAAAAACTTATAATTAGGTGTTATAAATATAATCTTATATATTTAATAGTATTGTAATGAAAAAAAATATAGATTATATATTTGTTAAAACCAAATTAATAGAACAACTATGATTGACGATCTATATAAGTTGAAAAAATGGAATATAAAAGGAATATATTTTTTAGGAGTAAAAATAGAATAAAAAATGAAGTAGAGTTGGAATTGAAACACTATTTATCCTATTTTTATTTTATTTTTAGAGAAAAAAATATGAATGGATTGGAGATGATCTTAGGGAGGTGGTGGAGGTTCAAGTGAGGATTTTCTTGGTGTTTTCGATTGGCTGAATGGTATTGGTGAAGATCGAATATGGATGCCAATATTTTTATTTCCAAAAAATCCTCACCTTGCGAGTCTAAAACAACAAAAATGCTATAAATGTAGTCTTTCTTATGGATTTATATATGACTTGTTGAATATTCAACTAAAACCTTGATTCCCTTTTATCTCATTTCTCTTTTACGTGCTTTGAGAATAGCATAATAGACCTTAATGGACTTAAATTTGGCTCACAAAATAAACTTGAAATTTAAGAATTGTTGGCCTTTTAAGTCTTGTAATGTTACACTTTGATTTTTTGTTTCTCGTTGACTTATGTTGTTGAAATGGGTTGTAAAATATGTTATCTTTAAATCACATCTTCAACCAAGCTGTGAATCCACAACCTATCTGTCACTTGTAAAACTCATTTGGACTTCATACAATTAAAGACCATATTCCTTAAAACTTTAAACGTTATAAAAATAAGTTCAATTCTCATCAACCCGTCAAATAAGAGATGAAGAACCCACCAAAATAGGTCGTACTTTCTTTAACAAGTGAAATAAATTTTCATCAATTCATTATCAAAATAATTTGGAATTTATGAAAAGAAGACCAACTCCTACCAAAATCTATAGAATAGGTGATTCCTATGAAGCATATGTCACACTCGTAACAATAAGTGAAATAAAAAACTATCAATTCAACTGTAAGCACAACATTTTATATTTTGATTTTCATAAAAAGAAAATCAACTCCCGCTAACTCATTGAATAAGCGGAGGGGAACCCGAGGATTCGGGTTGCACTAGTAACGGCAAGTGGTGATGCAAACCATAACTTAATATCAATTAGCTTTTAAAAAGCTATATTTCGATTTCGTGAAACGAAAACCAACTCCCACTGATACCCGTCGAATATGCGATGGGGACTACAAAACTTAGGCAAACTTGTAAAAACAAGTTGACGAGTTGTCAATTCGATTAAGAACTTTGGACTTCATAAAAGTAAGCCAAAATCCCATCAACATGTCGAAATAAATTTTCATCAATTCATTATCAAAATAATTTGGAATTTATGAAAAGAAGACCAACTCCTACCAAAATCTATAGAATAGGTGATTCCTATGAAGCATATGTCACACTCGTAACAATAAGTGAAATAAAAAACTGTCAATTCAACTGTAAGTCACAACATTTTAAATTTTGATTTTCATAAAAAGAAAATCAACTCCCGCTAACTCATTGAATAAGCGGAGGGGAACCCGAGGATTCGGGTTGCACTAGTAACGACAAGTGGTGATGCAAACCATAACTTCATATCAATTAGCTTTTAAAAAGCTATATTTCGATTTCGTGAAACGAAAACCAACTCCCACTGATACCCGTCGAATATGTGATGGGGACTACAAAACTTAGGCAAACTTGTAAAAAGAAGTTGACGAGTTGTCAATTCGATTAAGAACTTTGGACTTCATAAAAGTAAGCCAAAATCCCATCAACATGTCGAATAGGCGCGATGGACCCACCAATGTAAGTCAATCTCAACTGAATGGGACAAAGAAACATCAACTAGGAGATTTGAAATTAATCACAAATTTGAACATAAATTTTCCTTTTTAAGCTACAAAACCATGTAAAAATATCAAAAATGGGGGTAAAAATAAAATTTTTAATACATTTAGTGATTGTAAAATAAGCACTAAACACATCCTGAAACTTTAAATATTGCTTATCCGAGCATTAAAAAGAGAATTAAGCATTAAGAGAAGAAAACTCCCTGATGGCATGTCATCTTCAAAACACTTTGATTTTTTCTTGAATGCTTTCGTCAATGGTTGATTTCTCATTTAATTCATCTCTATCTCAACTAACAAAAATGCATGCACAGTCAACAAAATCATCAGAACAAACAAACCATAAAAAACTACTAAACTAACAATACATATGTAACATCCAGTTTCGGGATGATTTTTAATTGAGAGTTTCTGGATAGTAATTCAATCATGTAAACTTTAGGCTATGAGGAAGTAAAATTTAGATCTTATTAAGGGTTAATGATAGTGGTTATGAGATCGAAACCCTTGTTTTGTGTGCTGGAACTAAAGGGTAAAACGAGAAAAGTTATATGTCAAGCTTGTTGTATGTATTGTGTTTTTAGTTCAACATGTGCCAAAAGTAACTAGATAGGATTACGTGGCTCTTTAATACCTTTTCGTGCATATAAAGAATGTCGATAAAGAAGTTGAAACGAAGAAGTTATGGCTGTTTGAAGTTGAATGGGAAGTTGGTATTTTAGCTCTACGCAGGGTGTAATAGATCTATGCATGACATAGATGCTGAATTCTTGAGCGTGGGTTAAAGGAGATACACATGGCGTAGGTTATGGTACGCGGGGCGTAATCATGGCAGATCAAACCCTAATTCTTCGACTTTAAGCCCTATTTAAGGGCTCTAAATTCTTAGGAACCCTCTCATGACATGCCTCCGTCACCTAAGATCATTCCTTAAGAAACCCTAGCCTTCTCTTGCTTGTTTTGAGCCTCAACATCATTTATAAACTTATTTCTCCACTTAAAAGGTTGAATCTTGAAGAACAAAGTAGTTGCAAAGTGTATAGAAGAAGGGTTCAAGTATAGATCCATCAAGGTTGCTTCATTTCTTGACCATTGTGAGTAAAAAGCTTCTAACTGGCTAATTGATTTTACAGATCTTGTTATTGCTCATTTTTGTCACTTTTTAGTCCCTTGAGCTTGTGTTTTGGGAGTTGAGATAACTCCAACACCTTTTGAGCTATATGGAACACTCTTGGGACTTGTTGAAATTGGAAAGTTATGCTATGGTACGTGTTCATTAAGCCATGCAAGTTGTGTTAGCATCTTTGGTCATTTTAGAGTATAAAGTTTAGATCTTGATTGATTGGAGTGTCTTGATGGATACTTAATGGGTAAAGTTAGGAACTTTATCCATTAAGACATTATAAAGGTTCATATTTGAAAGTTTGAAGGACTAACTTTCTATACTAAGAGCTTATTGGACAAATTGGACATCAGCTGGTACGTAGGGTGTAATTTCCCTTACGGATGGCATAGGTTGATTTTGGCTCATAACCATCTAAAGCTCTACGCCATGCGTAGACCAGCTTTTGTGCATGGCGTAGGATGGTTGACCGTTGACTTTTGACCAAGTTTGACTTTAGGTCAAATTGAGTATTTTAAGTTGTAGATTGAGACTTGGTCCCTGTTTGTTGCATCGGTGACTTGTAGAGCCGGTTATTGGATATGTGGTCATCACAATTATCTTCTAGTATACAAGGTGAGTGTTCTCACTACACTTGCATGTGTGGTAGTATACATGTTGGCCAACTGGGTCATATTTGTAATTGTTATTATTTCTAAACTGAGTTGACAGACTATTGAGAGTCTATGGGCCGTTAATAGTCCCCAGGGTTGATGATAACCCATAGTTATTTATATTGTTATGATGTATGTGATATTTAGGACTGTTAATAGTCCCAGGGATGTTGATAACCCTTAGCTAATTGTTATGTTGCGATGTATGGGGTAATTTGGGGGACTCACTAAGCTTTGTTCTTATATTTGTGGATTAAATATTTTGTAGGAACTAAACGGATCACAAAGACGGGACTGTACACACACACATTAACTTTGTGTTTCTGTTTGAGGATGGCGATGACTACTGAGGATGTTTTGGCTCTAGTTCTGGTTCATGTTTTGTCTCAGGCACAAAACCAATTAATGAGAGACTATGCAAGTTCATTTCGGCTAAGGTTACTCACAGTATCTTGGATGCAACTCTTGTAATGTTCGGTACAATCAAGGAAGGGATTATGAAGTTGATGGATAAGAGGCTCAGGTCATTTCGAGCTGATATTGTTGTTGTTCAAATGGAAGCTCGAACACCCTCATTCCAAGAGTTCAAGGCTTGTGGAGCTCCTGAGTTCTTTGGGCTAAGGACCCCATCGCTAGCCGACGCTAGATCATTAACGTGGAGAATGCTCAGCGAATGAGTTTTTTTCCCTGAGGGGTAAAAGGTCGCATTTGCATCCTGCTTGCTGAGGAACCGAGCACGAGACTATTGGGAGAAGGTTAGCTGAGCTGTAGAATCAGCAGCAGTGGTAGTCTTGACGTAGGAGGATTTTGTTCAAAGGTTCCAAAAGGAGTTTGCACCAGCTATTGAGGTACAGCAGCTGGCGAAGGAGTTTCGGAACCTTCGCCAGACTACTAAGACGGTGGCAGAGATTGCCACCAAATCTAGGGAAAGGGATTTGTTGGTCCCATAGTAAATACACATGAATAGATGAGGAAGACGAGATATAGTGACATGTTTAGAGAGGATATAAGGCAGTCGTGAACTTTTTTGGGGTGTAAGATCCTGAATGATATGATTGAGAAGGCCTGTGAGCGAGAGATTGAGTTGGAGCTCCGGACAAAGAGGAAGCCAAAGAAGGTACATACAACGGTGGGCTAGGCTATGAGGCCCAAGACTTCCAATTCATGTGTCAGAGGCCCGCAGGGACGTAGCCGCTACGGTAGGTGAAGTAAGTTGCACGGTGGGGCGTGTTGAGTGTCAGGTTCAATATGTTTTGGTTATGGTCAGCCATGCCACATGAGTTGGGACTGTCCTAGGAGTGCTGTGATTTTCTTTCATTGTAATCAAACCGGCCATAAAAAGGCTAATTGTCTAAGATTGTCATGGGGAGCCGTGGCAGCGCCTGCATCAACCACCTTCAGGATTAGTAATGGACGTCAGGGTAAGGTGGATTCTCGTGTGGTGAAGAGCATGACATTTCAGCTGACCACCAATGAGGCTCGTGCAACACCAGATGTGGTTACTGGTAGTTGAACTATCCTTATCATCTATTGCTTTCCTTATTTATGCTTATGTATATATTTGATCTTGTATAGGGAGCTTTCTAGTCAATGGTATATCTTCTTGTGTTCTATTGGATTCGGGAGCTACCTAATCTTTTGTATCTCTTGCACTTAGCAAAAAGTTTTGTAATGCTCCCGGGACATTGGATTTTCCACTGGAGGTTGAGATGCGGATAACTGTACTGTGAGTGCTTCGAGAGTGCATCGTGGGTGTGTCCTGAATTTGTTTACTGAGAGCTATTTTATGTATTTGTTGCTGATTCCATTGAGAGAATCGAAGGTTATCATCGGGATGGATTACTTGGGCCCCAATGGGGACATGATAGATTGCGAGCGGCAGTTTTATAATCATTTTTAAGAAAATTGTGATATTTTTGGATTTTAAGCCAAAGGCGGTACGAGAAGTATCGAATTCAAAAATTATGATATTTTTGGAATTTCCAGGATTTATACAAAACATTTATGCCATGTGTTAAGGGAGATTTTTGTAGGAAAATTCCGAATTAAGCGCTTTTTCATTCCTTTTTGGTTTTATAATCATTTTCGTTTATAAAAAGGGGGATAGATTTAAATATTAGAATTCGAATGTTGTGAATTTTTCATATTACATGGATTTAAAGACCGACGTAACATTGAGAAATCGAAGTTTATGAAGTGATTCGATTTGAGATTTTGAAGTGATTTGGGTTTTCTTGGTTCATGATGGGCTTGGACATAATGAAGATTTTTAGGGTGTGGTTTTATGCTCAAATTTGGGTAATCGTTTGTGGAGGTTTGGATACTCCAAATTACTTTTTGATGCTTGGTTGGTAAGGTCTCGCATTCTAGAACCCAGATTGGAAAATGATTGAAGAATTATAGATTTGATGTTCATTTCTACATTTGCTACGCTTGAGGCTTAGTTCATGAAGTTGCTCTTTTTGGAAGATTGAAGCCGAGTCATATATAACTAACTTTGAGGGGGAAATGTTAGGGTGCAAAGTTATTCATGCAATGACTTTTTAATGGATTGACTTGAAGACCCAATTGCATATAGGATTGATGCCTAGTGACATGAGAGAGAGAGAGAGAGGGAGATTTTAGCACATATATATATATATATATATATATATATATATATATATATATATATATATATAGTAGGTTGCATACCACTTGTAGAGTGTGCTTGAGAGATGTAGTTCAAAGAGAGTTTTGGGTGTGTTAATTATCTAGACTAGATCTAATTCCTCTTTTTGTAAACTCTTCATGATAATCGAATAAATCTTTTAGCACCCAAATCACCGTGTTCTTTGTGTTCTTACAGTTCTGCATGCCAAATCAAAGCACGTAATTTACTAAAATTAGGGAGTGGATTCATGTCGGAGATCATTTGGTTAGTTGTAATGACCATGATTCACATTCCAGTGTGATTCCATTATGTGTT